CAATATATATATATATATATATATATATATATATATATAAAGTGTGACTTGATTTTCGTAGAACAGTGCTCAATACATAGAAGTAGAGCGAAGTATATATTGTGGGAGGAAAAAGACAAGTAAACTACAAGTTCATCCCTACAAGCCTGTTTCGTGGTCGCCCACTCATCAGGGGATTTAATGAGAATAAACTTTACCATTGCTTATATACAATATAATTTGCATGATCTAACTAGTCTAATTTATGCAGCGTGAAATTGACAGTTTAGTTGTTGCGTAGGAGGGCTTTGCTTCTGTGGCGGCATGAAGACACGAGTTCATTACGTTTGTTTAGTGTTGATAGTTCGGGCCGGCAGATAATTAGGAATTTTTCTTTGAGGCAGAGGTTACATCTTTTAGTTGAGCTGTTATACGGTGAGTGCGATGAGAGAATGCGCCAGTGATCGATGTCGTTGTCTTTGAGGGTCCAGATGTGCTTGCTGAGTTCGGTAGAGTTTCTGTGTTTAGCGTGGCGGAATGATGCGGTGTGGTTTCTGTATCTTGTTTTGAAGTCATTCTCTGTGAGTCCGATGTACGTTTCTGTCGTGTTGTTGTCTTTGCGTGTAACGGTTACACGCAAAGACAACAACACGACAGGACTGTTGTCGGTGGTAGTGACTGACGTTTCGACAATCTGTGCGGAAGTCATCATCAGAGTCAAGTGAATGATTGTTGTCAGTAGAATGTTCTTATTCCAGTTCGTCTGAAATGATCGGTTGGTTTTGCCGTGATGTTATTGGCTGTAAGACTCAAGTGACGTAAGTCGGTCCGACAACAGTCCTTCTCAGGACTACACTCACCCGGACGATGAGACTACACCTTCACATGTTACCCCCGGGTTCAAACCATTTACTGCATAAATCAGAACTGTCCAGTGGATCCACGGGTAGAACAGGTGAAGAAGGGAAGTCTAGTGAGAGGACCCATATGACGACCATGACGATAAAACTCACTGTCCCTACTGAATTTGTGGCCCTGCAGACAGTCCCCGTGTATCTGACCAATGGAAGAAAGCGAGTACAAGTAAATGCCCTCCTGGATGAAGGTAGTAGTAAGGCTTATTTAAACAGTGATGTGGCTGCAGAACTTGGACTGGAGGGGAGACCACATCAACTGACTGTGAAGGTGTTAAATGACAACCAAGAGAAGCTAAACTCTTCCATAGTCGAGTTCACTATCCATAGTTTGGATGGCAAGGTACACAAGAGTACCTCTGCTTACACGGCTGAACGAGTCACTGGCAACATACAAGTTGTGAATTGGAACTTGTACAAATATAAGTGGAAACACTTGAAGAGTATTAAGTTCCCACGAGTAGGACCCAGGCCCATCGATGATCTGCTCATTGGAGTGGATCAGGCTGAATTGTTGTGTTCATTGGAAGATGTTACAGGAAAGCCAGGAGAGCCCATTGCTAGACTAACGCCACTGGGATGGACTTGCATTGGAAGGCGCGGGCTACAAACAGACACAGTTCAAACCAATTTCACATTTGTTGTTAATCAGGACTCACACGGACTGAACAATCTTGTTCGTCGATTCTGGGACTTTGAAGAGCCCAAAGAAATTCAGATTGTCAAACCAGAAGAGAAGCTAGCCAAAAGTACAGTTGCTGAATCCCTGACCTTTGAGGATGGCCGCTATAGTGTTGGTTTGCCATGGAAGACCAAAGACCATAAGTTACCTGAGAATTTCAAAATGGCCTTGCACCGCCTGCAGTTCCGAAGGTTTTGTTGGCATTCACCTGTTGCTCCAAAAGTTTAATTTTCAATTTCTGTTTTTTAAGAATCAAAGTTTCCATCTGAGTACACAGGCATTCATACTGCTTTTTCAGAACATCATCATTACTGATTCTTTTTGCAGGCTTCTTCCGTTCATCAGCCTTGGCTGGTGAAGAATGCACATCTTCAATGATGCTCAAACAGTCTTCTTCAGTCCCAATCTTTGCAGACTCGGATGGTAAATGAGCATCTTCTCCTATAAAATATTTCAAGCACAATTAAGGTTTCACTCGGGCTCAAAGAGTGTGAATTTAGTTTTATGCATCACATAATGAAACAACAGAAGGAGCACCTCTCCCACAAGGAATCTTAAGCTTTAACATGTACAAAAATAAATTATTCAATTTCATACAATGAATTTATTTACTAGTAGACTCAACTCAGTGAAATCATTTACGAAAATGCTTTCAAAATCTGAAAGTCATGTACCAAAAGCTAGGCTTCTTATGGACAGATAAAGTGGAACCAGGGTGAATTGCCAATGAGAACCGTACCACAGTTTAGTGACCGAAAAAGTAGTACATAATGACAAGAACAACAACAAATTATTTCATCAATCACAAACCTAAACAAAGTTGCGTCAAAACGAAATAATAAAAACTAGTTATTTAACAATTATTCCACGAGCGCGCGTTGGATATGAGATGGTAGATAGCCAACGAGGCGCGTAGCGCCGAGTTGGCTATAATCATCTCATATCCAACAAGTGCGAGTAGAATAATTGTTTTATTAAAAAAAACGCCCCCAAGATATTAGACAAATCTTCTCGACTATATTCTGTAAGAAGAAACCGGATGTAACAATGGACAGATATTAGATTATGGTATATTGGCTCATATACCATAATGGCTAAGCCAATAAAAAGTCTTGAATTGCATTATCCAATGATCCAGTTTTTAATAATTATAATTATTCAGAACTGGATTATTGGATAATGCAATTCAAGACTTTTTATTGGCTTAGCCATTATGGTATATGAGCCAATATACCATAATCTAATATCTGT